ACAGATTTAATGTAATACCCATCAAAATCCCAGTGACATTTTTGTCAGAAATAGAAAAGTCCACTCTAAAATTCATATGGAATTTCAAGAGACTCAGAGTAGTCAGAACAATTTTGAAAAAGAATATTGGATGATTCATATTTCCTGATTTCAAAACTTACAACAAAGCTGCAGTAATCAAAATAGTGTGGAAATAAGGGATAAGGAAAGACATATAGGCTAATGAAACAGAATAGAGAGCCCAAAAGTAAACCTTTGTACATATGACCAAATGATTTTTGACAAAGGCACTAAGACCATTTGATAGCAGAAAGAAGAGTCATTTTAACAAGTGAGGCCAGGAAAACTAGATATACACATGCAAAAAAATGAGACTGGACCCTTACCTTATATCACATATAAAAAATAACTAAAAATGAATCAAGGTCCTAAACTTAACAGTAAAAACAATAAAACCTACAGAAGAATATTTTAAAAAATCTTCATGGCATTGGATTTTGCAATGATTTCTTGGATGTGATAGGCAACAAAAGAAAAAAATACCATTTGATCCAGCAATCCCACTACTAGGCATCTATCCAAAGGAAAAAAAAGACTAGAAAAAAAGAAATTAAATCCAATGCAAGAAGGAAGAAAATAAATTACAAACATCAATGAAAATAGAAAAACAGAAAAGAATCAATACAACTGACAGCCAGTTCTTTATAAAGGTCAATAAAACTTATAAATTTCCAGACAGGCTATGAGAGAGAGAGAACATAAATTACAGACATTTACAATCAAAGAAGAAACATAATTACTGATCATACAGACACTGAATGGATATTATGAAAAAGTTTAGGCCCATGCTATGGTCTCAATGTTGTTGTCACCCCAAAATACATATGTTGGACTTAATCTTTAATGTGATAGTGTTAAGAAGTAAGGGCTTTAGGAGGTGATTGCATCATGAGGATGGAGCCCTCATGAATGGGATTTGTGCCCTTTTAAAGGGGGTTGAGAAAGACTATTTGCTCCTTCCACTATGTGAAGATACATAGTAGATGTCATCTAGGAAGAACACATCCTCACCAGACACTGATTCTGCTGGTATCTTGATCTTAGACTTCCCAGCCTCCAGAACTATAAGCAATTAATTTGTTGTTCATAAATTACCCAGTCTAAAGTATTTTGTTATAGCAGCTCAAACAGACTGAGACAGTCCATAAATACAATTTAGTTGAAATTCCTTAAAAGACACAAACTACTGGACCTCACTCATGAAAAACTGTGTAAGAACTATAAAAACTGTATAAAGCTGAATAGAACTGTCTCTATACAAGAAGTTTAATTTATACTTATAAAACATTCTAACAAAGAGAACTCTCCACACACCCAGATGGCTTCAGTAGTGAATTCTACCCAATAATTAAGATATAATACAATTCTTCAAGAATTCTTCCATAAAATAGAAGAGGAAAAAACACACCCCAACATACTTTAAGACCATCTTGATCCTGATATAAAACTAGCCAAAGATAGTATTAAGAACTATGATTTATGTACCATCTCATAAATATTGATGGAAAAATCAATAAAATTATAAAATCCAGAATACATAAAAATGATAATGTATCATGAACAAGTGGGATTTTATACTGTGAATTCAAGGTTGGTTTGACATTCAAAAGTCATCCAATACCATCCACCATAACAACAGATTAAATAAAGTGATGTCACCCTCTTAATGGATGCAATAAACGTATTTGACAAAATTCAACATCCATTCATGATAAAGTCTCAAACGAGGAATTAAAGGAAAGTCCATGAACCTAACAGAGGGCATCTCCTAAGAACCTATAGCTAATATACTTACTGATGAAAACTGAATACTTTCCATCCTAAGAACAGAAAGAAAGCAAATAATCTGCACTAGTCACTGCCATCAACACTATGCTAGAGGTCCCAGTCAGAGCAATAATAACAGACATATATATTAGAAAGAAAGGAATAAAACTGCTGCTATTCACAGATACCATGATGGTCTGAAAAATTCTAAAGCAGCTTTTAAAAACTACTAGAATAAGTGAATTTAGCAAGTTCTCAAGATATAAAAACAATATATAAAAATCAATTGTATTTCTATATACTAGCAATGAATAAGTGGAAATTGTAATTAAAAAGCAGTACCATGGCCGGGCGCTGTGGCTCACGCCTGTAATCCTAGCTCTTGGGAGGCCGAGGCGGGCGGATTGCTCAAGGTCAGGAGTTCAAAACCAGCCTGAGCAAGAGCGAGACCCGTCTCTACTATAAATAGGAAGAAATTAATTGGCCAAAAACTGAATTTATACTATAAAAATTAGCCGGGCATAGTGCGCCATGGCCCTGTAGTTCCCCAGCTACATCCCGGAGCTGAGGCAGAAGGATCACTCGGAGCCCAGATTTGAGGTTGCTGTGAGCTAGGCTGACGCCACGGCACTCACTCTAGCCTGGACAACAAAGCGAGACTCTGTCTCAAAAAAAAAAAAAAAAAAAAAAAAAGCAGTACCATGTAAAATCAGCACCAAAAACATGAACTAGCTAAATATAAATCTAACAAAATATGTATAACATCAAATATGGATAAATATACTACATTCATGGATTGGAAAGTTTGAAATGGTAAAGACATCAATTCTCCCCCAAACAGATTTATGGATTCAATGCAATCCTAACCAAAATCTCAGAGAATTTTATCACAGGAATTGACAAGTTAACTATAAAATTCATATAGAAAAGCAAAGGACCTGATATAGCTAAAACAATTTTGGGAAAAAAAAAATAAAGTTGGAGAATATACACTGCCTGATTTCAAGACTTTCTGTACAGCTACAGTAAGCAAGACAGTGTCATACTGGAAAAAGGAGAAACGGTACAGAATAGAAAATCCAGAAATAATCACACATGTATATGGCCCATTTAATTGGCAGTAATGCAAAGGCAGTTCAATGAATATGGTCTTTTAAACAATGGTGCTAGAGAAATTGGACATCTATATGCAAAAATAATTAACCTCAAACGATACCTTATACCATAAACATAAATTAACTCAAAACTTATTGATCTATATATAAAAGCTAAAACTATAAAATAACTTCTAGAAGAAAACATAAGAGAAAACTTTTGGGACTTTGGTTTAAAACAAGTCTTCAATCTGACACCGAAAGCACAATCCATGAAAAATAATGATAAACTGGACTTCATCAAAATTAAAAATTTCTGCTCTTCAAAAGACATTAAGAGGGCTGGGCGCAGTGGCTCACACCTGTAATCCTAGCTCTCCGGGAGGCCGAGGCGGGAGGAAAGCTGGAGGTCAGGAGTTTGAAACCAGCCTGAGCAAGAGCAAGACCCCGTCTCTACTATAATAGAAAGAAATTAATGGCCAACTAATATATATAGAAAAAAAATTAGCCGACATGGTGCGCATGCCTGTAGTCCCAGCTACTTGGGAGGCTGAGGCAGAAGGATTGCTTGAGCCCAGGAGATTGAGGTTGCTGTGAGCTAGGCTGATGCCACGGTACTCACTCTAGCCTGAGCAACAAAGTGAGACTCTGTCTAAAAAAAAAAAAAGACATTAAGAAATGAAAACATATGCCAAATACTTGAGATAAATATTTGCAACTATGATAAAGGATTTTTATCCAGGATGTATAACTCTCAAACACAACATTAGAAAACAACTCAATTTTAAAAAGTAGGTAAAAATATTGAACAGATTTACCAAGAAGATATACAAATGAAAATAAGCACATGAAAATGTTCAACATAATTATCATCATGGAAATGTAAATTCAAGTCATATGAATCACTACAACCAATTAGAATGGCAAACACAAAAAAGTGATAATATGAAGTGCTAACAAGGAAACAAAGTAACTAGAATCATGTACATTCTTAGAGAGTACAAAAATGGCAGTTTCTTTGGAAAGCAGTTTGACAATTTTTATAACAGTCAAAATATGACCTAAATCCTCTTACTAGGTATTCACTCAAGAGAAGTGAAAATATGTTCACTCAAAAACCTGTACACAAATGTTTATAGCAGCTCCTATTCATAATAGCCAAGAACTGGAAACAACCCAAACATTCAACTGGTAGGATAAACCATAGAGTAGTCATACAATAGAATATTACTCACCATAAAAGTAACTTCTGATACAACAAACATTGATAAATGTCAAATTTATATACTAAGTGAAAGAAGCCAGACTCAAAAAAGTGACATACTGTACAATTTTACTCTGTGACATTTATGAAGGCAAACTAGGAACAGAAAATAGCTTAATGGATGCCAGGTGCTTGGGATATGAGTGGGTTGACTACAATGGGCATAGAATGCTTTTAGGGGTGATGGAAATTCTATACCTTGATTATGGTGGTTACACAACTGTTTCAAAACTTTTATGGCCATATGCCAAAAAGAGGGAATTTTACAATATGTAATTATACCTCACGAAACTTGACTTTAAAAATATATAACTGAAAAGAAAAAACCCTATTGGCCAGGCACCGTGGCTCACGCCTGTAATCCTAGCACTCTGGGAGGCTGAGGCGGGCGGATTGCTCGAGGTTAGGAGTTCGAAACCAGCCTATGCAAGAGCGAGACCCCGTCTCTACTATTAATGGAAGAAATTAATTGGCAACTAATATATATAGAAAATTAGCCAGGCATGGTGGTGCATGCCTGTAGTCCCAGCTACTCGGCTGAGGCAGCAGGATCGCTTGAGCCCAGGAGGTTGGAGGTTGCTGTGAGGCTAGGCTGACGCCATGGCACTCACTGTAGCCTGGGCAACAAAGTGAGACCGGAGGGAGAGGGAGGGAGGAGGGAGGAGAAGGAGGAAAGAGAAGGAGGAAGGAGGAAGGGAAAGGAAGGAGGAGGGGACAAGGGGAAAGGGAGGAAAGGAAGGAAAGGAAGGAAAGAAAGAAAGAAAGAAAACCTTAAGTTTTAAAAAAATCAAGCTCCCAATCTAAATAGTCTCTCCATCTTTGTGGTCACTCTCTACACCTAGGGAAAAAAGAAACAGAAACACCCTTGTTATATACCCAGGATAGTCTCTAAATCCTTTAGTGATTATTTAATAGTCAAATCTGTAGAAAAGTATTACTTTTACATCATCGACTGCTCCGATTTCCCCTTAGCACAGTGATCCTGAATTCATTGTAATGGCAGGAGCAGAATTTCTCGATGAGAATAGATGAAGTGATGACTACGATGTTTATTAAATATTTTAGATTATTAATTCAAGCCAAAAGTAAAAGTACAGGGCAAAAATGTTATAAACATTCATTTTACACAAGAACAACTCACACCACCTAGAACAGGACTAGCGCCAGGAAAAATCATAGAATTGGTGAAGTCATTCTTTGGTTCCACTATCCTTCCTCTTCTGGAAACTTTGATCTCTCAACATTCCATTTGGATACACAATGCTTTCATGGGCTTCTCACCTCCTCCCATTAAAACTTGCTCTTCTCAGGATAGAATCAGAAATATAAAGACCTGAAAACAGCTTAAAATGTTACCTCCCTAAAGGAAGGAGAAATAAAGAAGGGAAATAGCATTTGGTAGGCCAGGCACTTTACACGTAGTATCCCATTTAATCCTCATAAAAGCCATGTGAATTAGGAACTATTATCCCCATTTCACAGAAGGGATAACTTAGGCCCAGAGAGATGATGTGATCTGGCCAAAATCATAGCCACACAGCTAGAAAATAACATAGCTAGGCTTCATACTTAGGTTTGTCCCATTTCAAAACTCATACATTCTTTCCGTCACACAACATACTACCTCTCCCAAGGCAGGAGAGGTTGTATGCAATAGTGATGACAGTCTTAAACAAAAAGAACAAACCTGAAGATAAAATTACATAAAACACACACGTACATGAGTATATGTACAAAACAGTAAAATCTGAACACAGCTTTGTTGTCTAATTCTGTGGTCCCCAAGCCCCACCAGGCCATGGGTTGATACCAGTCCATGGCCTATTAGGGACTGGGCCACAGAGCTCTGCCACAACCCCTTTTCCCCCCGACAGAAAAATTGTCTTCCTTGAAACTTTGGAACTAGGGGGCCACACAAGCAGGAAATAAGCAGCAGGTGAGGGGGCAAAGCTTCGTCTATATTTACAGCTGCTCTCCATCACTTGCATCACTGCCTGAACTCCGACTTCCCCCGCCCCAGCAGTTGCACACATGCACCCTGTCCGTGGAAAAACTGTCATCTTCCATGAAACCAGTCCCTGGCGCCAAAAAGGTTGGGGACCACTGGTCTAGTTAACAATATTGTGACATCAACTTCCTGGTTTTAATAAGGTACTACTACATTTTAAGATATTAACATTAGAGGAAGCCGGGTGAAGAGAACATGGACTCTCTTTACTATGTTTTTTATAACTTCCTATGAGTCTATAATTATTTTAAAATACAAAGTTAAAAAAATATTAATCTCTAATGAGATCTGATATAAGTTTAAAAAAGTAAAGAATAAACATTTACTAATGTTTATGGAAAGCCAAGTTCTCCATTCTCTTTAAATCACACCACAAAGGTGTTCAACTCTGTTTCCATGTTAAGTGTCAGGTGTGGCTCAGGAGAGTTGTCCTTTGGCTCCTTGCTTGGAATAACTGCGAGCAAGACCAGTGCAATGGAGTGATGACAGACACAAAGCACTTCCACATGAGCAGTTTTTATTGAGCACAGCGAAGGATACAAAGCAAAAGTGCATCCTTGAGGAGGGACAGGTCTGTCTCCATGAGTGGAGAAGATCCTGACTTTAAAGACAGAATATAGAAAATATAGCACACTCTCAAAGTCAGTAGAGAGCAGACTGCTCCAATAAAGAACAGTGTCATCCCTGGGTTAGGGTCTGTCCTTTAGGATAATCAATATGTTAATCTGGAGGTGGAATATTCATGTCTTTGTGGGGAAATGGGTAGAGATTCCCGGAATCATGTACCCTCCCCATTTTTTGCCTTTGTATGGCTAGCTCTAGAACTGTCATAGTGCTAGGGGGTATGAGTTTTACTATGTTAATGAGGGAAAAATTACCTTTGGTCATAAACTCCTAGCTTCCATGCATGCTCCCAACTGGGAAAAGTCCCTAACCTCAAGTTCTTGCTGTTGTGGTTTCTTTTCTCTGTTTTTACTGGTCCCAACCCTCAGCCTTTGACCACATCCTCCTATGGCCTGCCCTGCCACCTGTATACCCCTCCATCCCTACCTAACATAAGGTCAACCTTAAGTGCCAGAAATCCACTGTGGTTATACAAAATAGTCCCCTAGAAAAAGGGGCCTAACTTTTTAGAAATGATGTATAGTTGACAGGAGGTTTCGACTCTGATCAAATCCTTTCCTAGTGAACATGACACGTATTTCAGGACTTCTTTCCACAACCATTATCACCCCTGTATCTTCCTAGGTGTGTATGTCATCGTCTATGACAATACTGAATACTGTACATTGTGTGTACAACTAGAAAGTGCTGGTGAGAGCCCACTTTCTGATTCATAGATAGTGCCTTGTAGCTGTTTCCTCATGTGGTGAAAGAGGCAAAGCAACTTTCTAGGGCCTCTTTTATAAGGGCACTAATCCTATTTATGAGGGGTCTGCCTTCGTGACCTAATCACTCCCCAAAGGCTCCACCTTTTAGTACTATCACATTGGTGTAGGTTTCAATATATGAATTATAGGATAACACAAACATTTAGACCATTGCACAAGGCTTCATGAAATTTAGTGCTGCCTACCTGTTACCGTAGTCCTGGTCAGAGGGACGGTTGTTAAGAATGTTGACTATGGTAACCTTCACTACAGCAAATAACCAATAGCAATCTTTTCCCAAAGTAGCATGTACTGCTGCCCTGAAGGAAATGTGAGAAAATAAAAATAGTAAATACAATTTAGAGACCACATGGGAAACCTAATCATTACCTGAACTTTTGCTAATAGAGCTCAATTAGTTAATGTTGGGTTGATACACTCACACTCTTCCAGCTTAGTACAATGAAACCAATAGCCTTATGAAATCTATAGATTTTCTACTTGTTTTCATATCATTCAGTTTTTACATTGCTAGGGTGTGAAGACAGTTACACGCAAGAGAAATTTTTAGGTTTATCAGGGCAGTAATGTCCTTTGGGGATAGTGTACTTCATTTATACATCATGTGTGAAAACAAAATCAGACACAAATCACCGAGAAATGCAGTTAATGCTTTATGACTTCATAAATATGGAGCTGTGACCAACACTAGGACCTCCGTTGGAAACCTTCATCCTCATAATTTAGCAGCTCCAAGGATTGATTTTACCACATAGAGTTTGGTCCTGGAACTAAAATACATCCACATGCAAATCGAGACCATGGAGGATAACTATTTCTGCACGTATCTTCATGGAGATTTGTGAATGTGCTGTGGCGAAAACCTCATAAGGGGCCTTTGAATTGTCACTTTCTAGTTGCACACACAATATACAGTATTCAGTAAATTAACACTTCTGTTAAAAATCAATCCTCAGTGTTTAGTGATAACTAGTCCTGTAAAATTTAATTGTGATTGACAGCCATTATCTCACATGATTATATAAACTTGTGTCCTTACTTTATAGATAAGAAAATCAAGGCCAAGCCATGTTAAATAAATTACATGAGGTCCCAAAGCCACAAAGTCATAAAATTGGGCTCTCAGAATCTATGGTTAATTCTCCTCTCATATAGTCATGCCATCTATAATAAGAATTCAGTGAAAATCATCCATCTCTTTTTGCTTCTGCATACAGATAGGATTCACAGATGATGACATACACACCTAGGAAGATACAGTGGTGACGACAGTTGTGTGAGGAAGTCCTCTTGAAATACCTGTCATGTTCACTAGGCAAGGATTTGATCAGAGTTGAAACTTCTTGTCAACTATGCATCATTCCTGAGGAAATGAAAATAGGAAAACTCATAATCTAGGGGCAGATAATGGACACTACCTCTCTCCTGATGGTAAGAACCCTGGATCCTAATCCTCTAGTATGTATCACTTCTTCTCTTGTCATACCTCTCTGCTTATCCCTCCTCAAAGGTGATTTTCATCCCTATTTTTTCCTAAAGCTCCAAAATAGGCCATGCTGGCTTGCAGTTTAAACTAAGGTGCTCCAACTGTCCTTTTGCTTTGGTCTCTGAGTATCCTTAGCAAGACTTTACAATTTCTCTTACCACATCTTCTTAACTTAGTCCTAGAAGTTCATGTGTCTGAAACTTTTCCTTAGGAGTCCTTTTCCAGGAGGTTCTATAGTCCTTTATAACAATGGATTCCTTGCAAATCTGCCTCAAAGTCCTTCCATATGTGCCAAGACATATCCAAGCAGTAGAGTAATACCAGCTTAGATTCAAACTAAGGCAACTATAATACTGTGAGTGGGGAAAATCAAGTGTTATCCCTAATTTTATAAACAAGTTAACTGAGACTGAGAAGGTAAGACTTACCCAAAGACACATTGTTAAGAAAGCACAGAGGCAGGACTGCAGTCTAAGACTCTGGGCTATTAGTCCAGGGGACTCTGTACTCACCAATAGAAATACAACAAATAACCAGTAAATTTTACCAAAGAAACACAGTAACAAAGTCAGTAAAGCAGTTGTAAGCAGACATAATCTAGATGTTTAACATTTTTGTATCTCCACTCTTACCTCACAGTGTTGAATACAGTTAGTTGACCCTTGAATAATGTGGGGGTTTGGGACACCAACCCATGCACAACTGAAAATCCAAATATAAACTTTGACTTTCCAAAAACTTAACTACTAATACCCTATATTGTTGACCAGAAGCCTTACTGATAACAGTTGATTAACACAAATTTTGTATGTTATATGTATTAGATATTGCATCTTTATAAAGCTTCTATAAAGCTAGAGAAAAATGTTACGAAAATCATAAAGAAAAAACATATTCAATTTTCATTAAATGGAAGTAGATCATCATAAAGGTTTTCATCCTCGTCTTTATGTTGAATAGGCTGAGGAGGAGGAGGAAGAGAAAGGATTGGTCTTGCTGTTTCAGGGGTCACAGAGACTGAATACATGGTGGAGGTGAAAGGAGAGATAGGCGAGACAGGCACATTCAGCATGACTTACTGAAAAAGTCCACACATAAGGGGACTTGTGCTGTTTATTTAACACATTAACTGCCATATGAGTTGTATTTAACTAGTACTAGTTTTGAGCCTGGGGCCTTGTGAAGCATATATAACTCACACATCTCTTCACTTTGGGAGCTGTGTGAACTATTTTTCAAGTTGCATGTAACCCACACATAGAAAATAAAAAACAACAAATTTTTCATTAAATTAGAAATGAGTGTTTTGTTTTCAAACTTTTTATTCTATTTTCATAATAAAACACTGTGGCCCCAAGGAAATTTTTTTTCTAGTGTGGCAATCAATGTGTTAAACCTGTGTTATTCAAGGGTCAACTGTACTTAGTAGATGTGTGACACATACCTGTCAGCTGTTTTATGGGTATGTTGTCTGCAGCAGGGCCTTATCTCCCTTTAAATATTTCATAAAAGACACCAAGCAGCATGTCAGACTACACACCTTCCATTAACTTCAAACAACTCACACTAAGGGCCAGAGATGCATTTCATGATGGAAAATGAACTCAGAAATATAATGTTTAAAACAGCATATTAGAAGCATACCAGAGTTTGAAACCTCCAGAGTAAGGAAAGGAAACAACACACAAATTCATCCCCCAAAGAGCCAAAGCCTCATAGCCCACAGCTAGTAAAAACTGGTCAAAGACTCTAGGATAATAGGCAATTATCAGGCTTGTGTTAAGGCTATCAAAACACACCACCTTTTCCAAGAAAGCATTGGAAATCCAAGTCTCCACCAGACTGTGCCCATGAAAACCATTCTGCCTACAGAAATTGTTCCACCAGGGAATAAGATAGCACAGCTCCAAGTTGTTCCCTCAAGCAAAGTGTGAGGCCAAAAATGAATTCTCCAGCCCTATGACTCATTAGTGTACCATTTAAACATTTTCTTCTTATAATCAACATCCTTACCCAATCCCCAAAGGAAGGAAAAAATTAAACTTTATACCCTCAAAGCAAGTCAAATGATGATTGAGTCTATCTGAACAAACAAGAGGTGATTCAATGGCTGATTTGTCCTCCCAAAGTGGCAGAAGGGAAGAATTTATTGCTTGTCTCAGGCATCCTTCAATCTGACCTGCAGAGCAAGCAGATTTAAAGTAACCTTAGATTGATGCTGGAGATTTTTGGCCCAACTCCAAAGCTACTTCCATTATTTGCATTTGACACACACACACACACACACACAGACAAGTGTCTTTGCCACCCCAAGGTCATTTAATATCAAGGCCATTACATCAAATTCTCTCTAGAATAAAGCTCTATTATCAAAACTAATTAAATAATGTCAAAATACACTGAGCAGTGCCTATACTTCAGAAATGCCTATTCACTGTTCTGGCACTCTTTAGCACAAGTTGGTTGCCAATGAGGAAAAGTTATCTGCATCATTAGGTTAAAACGATTCCTCTCTCCCTTAGGCCCAATGTCACTTATACACCCACCACCAGCAACAACAACTTAGACCTAGACAAGTTTGGAAAAGAGACTTTAAGGTCTACTGTTTGGTTTGTGCAGCCATTAGCATTTTAGCTTTAAAATGCTTGTCTCTCATTTTCCAGCAGTCTCTTTGAGCCAAAGTCAGATCCTATTCCATAATTCCACAGGCTGCATCATTATGCATGGATTACAGCACTTTAGGGAAAAGGATAAAATGTAAACATTTCCATCCAAGCACACACTATCAAACTGAGCAGACAGTGTAGGTGGATGATGTACAACCTTGAACATGACATCAGTATTTAAGGTGGAAACATCTCCCACAAAACATGGAATGGAAGGAGGAAAATGACAAGGAACTGTACATAATATCTCATAAAGCCAAGGCCAGTTAAAGTCTCACTGCTGGTGCCACCTTACTAGTGTTAAATTTTGACAAGATGACAAAAGTATAGTAGTTCCCTCTTATCCATGGTTTCACTTTCCAGGGTTCCCCTTGGTCAACCTCAGTCTAAAAGTAGATAAGGACAATAAAATATTCTGAGAGAGGGGGGACCACATTCACATACCTTTTATTACAGTATAATTGTTCTATTTTAGTTGTTAATCTCTTACTGTGCCTAATTTATAAGTTAAACCTTATCACAGTTATGTGTGTGTAGAGAAAAATATATATATATGGGGTTTGGTATTATCTGAAGTTTCAGGCATTTATTGGCAGTCTTGGAACCTATCCCCCACAGATAAGAGAGGACTACTGTAGCTCCCTTCAAGTAACTCCCTTTAAATAAATGTTTGAAGCCCAGAAAGGAAGCCTCTACCTATCTAAAACCAATACAAGCAGGAGTAGACCATTACCTTTCTATGACTCGAAGTTCTTAATATTCTATGGCTATGGTCCAGACAGGTTGATTTCAACATATACTGCCCAAAAGGAAGAATACTAATAATGCATTCTACTGTTCAGGTTTTCAATGAGTTCAGGTGAAATGCAAACAGGACAAAAATAAAAACTGAACCTCAGCCACCAACTGCCTCCCATCTCACTACCTATACAATTTTAATCCTTCACTATTTTATTCATGCTACAATTAGTCAGATAATGCCCCATAAATATCATAGTCATTCCTTCCTTTGTGCCTTATTCACTGGTTCATGAGTCACCTTTTCAAAAGTCCACTTAGCTCTAGTATTTAGTTTGTCTTATCTTTTCCATGAAGTCTTCAACCACTCTTTGATAAACAACACTCTCTCGTTTCCTGAACTTCTAGAGTAGTGGTTTTCAAATCTCACCATGCATCAGAATCCCCTGAAGGGCTTATTAAAACAAAGATTACTAGGCCCTTCCCCCAGAGTTTCTGTTTCAGTAAATCTGGGGTAGGGCCATAAAATTTGCATTTCTAACAAGTTCACAGGTAATGCTGATCCTGCTGGCCTAGAGATCACACCTTAAAAACCAACATTCTAAGCTAAAAATAGAAATACCTTTCAATCCAGCAATAGCATTATTAGGCATCTACCCAAAAGAGCATGAGTGTACCATCTGGGGGATGGTCACACTTGATGCTGAGACTTGAGGGGAGGGCAATGGCATCATATGCAACCTTAAAATTTGTACCGCCATTCACTATTGCAAGGACATGGAAACAACCCAAGTGCCCGTTAATACATGAGTGGATTATTACAATTTTGTATATGTTTACAATGGAATATTACTCAATTCTAAGAAACGACAGCAAGCTAGCACTACTATTTTATCCTGTATCAAGCTTAAGCCCATTATCCAAAGTGAGGTGACACAAGATCAGAAAAATGGGCTCCACATGTACTCGCCATCAAATTGGTACTGACTAACACTATGGTGCTCAAATGGTGGTAGTGTTCTCCAGGGATTCAGGGGTTGGGGGAGTAGGCCCACATCTGAGGGATGTGGTGAGCATTGTGGAGGGGAAGGGCATACCTCTAACCCTTGCTAGGGAGAGGCAAAGATATAAAATATGATCAAAATGTTCATACTTTCATATTATCTTGAAATAAAAATGTGAAAAAAAAACCAATTATCTATAGTATTTATCTTTATTGTATCTAATTCTTGATTATACATTCTGCAGTTGATTTATGAATATATGCATGTATCACATAAGACTTAATATTCCAAAGAATAGTAAACTCAATGCAAGCCAGCTTAAACAAAAAGTGGATTTTATTTTCTCACTTTACTGTGACACCCAGATATTGATTGATGCAGTAACTCAATGATGTCTTCAAGGACTCAATTTCCTTATATATTTCTGTTCTACTATTCTCAGTGTCAGTTCCATCCTAAGACTGGTACCTCTCCTGGCAATAATATAGCTGCTAGCCACAATCAAGACTACATATGTTCTTATTATAAAATACAGAGGGACACACAGAACTTCTTATCAACATTCCAAACAAGAGTACTAAAATTCACCCTAAGCAGCCTGTTAAGGATAGGGGTGAATACCAGATGTGTGAATATCGTTAGGAGGAGGGTTAAAGAATGAATTCTGGAAAGGCACCCTACAAAAGCTTACTGTACAACCCAACAGGAGCATAAAACAACTAGGGTAGTAATGGTGTCATCTACATCCCTTATCATACATGGAGCACTCAATAAACACTAGATGATTCATTTTTTTATAAAAAAAAAATCTCTACCAATTGATTTACATGTAAACTATATAGCCTAGCTATCTATATTATAGATAGATGTAGACTATATAGACTATGTTATAGATAGATACATCATTTAATTAAATTTTGTTTGAACTTAATGTAGGAAATATTGGCAAAAGCTTTCTGTATTTTTCTTATATACATCTAAGTATGCAAGCACCAGTTCAGACTTATTTTTTGTTACCAATATGATTTCCTGATTTACCATAAGGATAATTCTCATTAAAATGAGTTTTTATGTAAAACATTCATGACAAACTATTTCCACTACCTCAACCAAAGGTTTGGGGTATGAGTATTAAAACAGCTCTTACTGCCACAGACCATGATGATTGTTAGAAAGCTCTATTTTACATTTTGAGCTTAAATCAGTTTCCTTATAACTTTTACTCATAGATCTTAATTCTACTATTAAGGGCCACACCAAACAAGTCTTTCTTAGGGTATCAACCATATCTTGGGATATATATTTGAATGTAGGTGTCTAATACACTAGATACACCTTCTTCAAAGAAAAAAAACAATTTGGGGAAACATGGTAAGCTGTTACATTAGTTTTCTAAGATACTATAATAAAAATACCACGAACCAGGTAGCTCAGAACAACAGAAATGTATTCTCTCACAGTCCTAAACATCCGAAATTAAGGTGTTGGCAGGGCCATGCTCCCTCTAAAGACTCCAGGTAAGAAATTTCCCCTTACCTCTTCTTCCCTAGCTTATGGTGGTTGCCAGAAATCCTTGGCATTCCTTGGCTTGTAGCTAAATCACTTCACTCTCTGCTTACATCATCACATGGCCTTTCTCCTTGTGTTTCTCCTGTCTGTCAAAATTTCCCTTTCCTTTCTCTTATAAAGATACCAGTCATTGAATTTAAGCTCACCCTAATCCAGTATGACTTAATTTTATCTTTATCAATATGCAAAGACTCTATTCTAAAAAAGGTCACATTCACCAGTGCTAAGGGTTAATACCTTAGGTTATGAACATATCATGGGGGGAGGGCATAATACAACCCACTCCAGCTGTATAGGGTAAGCACCAATCTTAAAAATTATATAAATCTGAATGCTTAATATATTTTATGGCTTAAATTTTAAAAGAAGAATTATGTGAGTAGAAAAGATTAGTTCACATAAATATACCCAAAAAAGCAAAGGAGAAAACCTCATTTTGGCAATGATAAGTAGTAATTCAAATATTAATGAACATTTATTATTTACTACATTTAAAAACTATACTGAGCTCTTTACATGCATTAATTCATACACTCTTCATAGCCATATGGTAGGTATGGTAGACAGAACAGAATAATACAACCTTCCCTTCCCTTCAAAATATTTCCACATTTGAATTCCAGAACCTGTAAATATGTTACTTTGCATGGCAAAGGGCCACGTGCAGATGTAATTTAGGTTACAAATCTTAAAATAGGGAGATTATTCTGGATTATCTGAGTGGGCCCAATCTAATCACATGAACTCTTAAATGTAGAGAACCTATCCAGTCTACAGTAAAAGAGAAGAGGGAAACAGACAGACACAGAGTGCTGTGATAAAAGACGACGCAAGAGAGATTTACAGAGTGAGAGGGACTAGACCCCTCATTATTGGATTTGAAAATGGAGGAAGGAGGCCATGAGCCAAGGAATGCAATCAGCCTCTGCAACCTGGGGTGAGCTCAGTGGAAAGTCAACAAGAAAATAGAGACCTTAGGCCTACAACCACAAGGAATTGAATTCAGCTAAAAATGTAAATGAGCAAAGAAACAGATCTCCCACCCCCAGAGTCTCCAAAAAGGAATGCAGCCCTGTTAACGATTTGATTTCAGTCCAGTAAGGTCCTTGTGTCATATTTCTAAACAACATAACTGTAAGATAAGTTTATGTTGCTTTAAGCCATAAGTTTATGGTAATTTGTTATGGCAACAATAGAAAACTAACATAGTAATAAAATATTATTACCATTTACATACCAAAAAGAAAGAAATAAGTCTCGGAAATATTAAGTGATATGTGTAAGGTCATTGCATAGTAAGTAGCAGAAAAGGAATTCAAACAGAAATATACCACAAAGTACAGCCCATGCTTTTTTATCACAATGCCTTACTATTCATCTCAAAGAAATAAGATCCCAAATAAGTTCATTTTAAAAGTAAAAGAGGGGCAAGGGAAATATACATAACCTTAACATTTATACCCCCATAATATGCTGGAAAAAATTTAAAAAGGAAAATAAAAAATAAAAGTAAAAGAAACAAAAATTATGTTAACCCTGTACCTGACCCCATATAGTACTAACAGTCATGACAGTAAATTTAGGCAGGCAGCTTTTATGGTCTCAAAAAGGACTGACTTGAAAAGTAGTGTTGACTTTTAGAATAATATGTGAGCAAATATATATTTGGTAAACCTTCTATCCTCCTCTTTTGCCTCACCACTTCTTCATCTTCCCCCCTTCAATATCCCATCAACCTAAAATATCTTTATACAGCAAACATCCAAGAATAGCCAAGATGTTACTGAAAAAAATAAGTCTAGGGGTCTTATTCCCCCCTCCAAAACCTTAAAACTTCACAAAGCCATGGTAATAAAGATGGGATAGGAAAAGAGATCAACGGAATAGAACAGAGAATCCAGAAACTGACCTAAGCATACATGAAAACCTGATATATGACAGAGCTAAATATTTACAATCATAGGAGAAAGAACAAGCTATTTAATAAATGATTCTGGGATAACTGACTATATGGGAGAAAAAATAAAATTGGATCACCATATCATACCATACAAAATAAATTTCAGATAAATTAAATAAGACTACATTTGAAAGGCCAAACTTAAAAATAAATATAGGGGAAAGTATCCTTTTGATCTAAGGTTAGAGAAAACAATTTAAACATAACGGAAAAGCACTAACCATAAAGAAAAAGATTGATAAGTCTAATACATCAAATTTGAGAACTTATGCTTATCAATAAACACCATGAAAGAAATTAAAAGGCAACCTACAAACTTAAAGATAACTGAAAATCATGTTACTGACAAAGAATTAGCATTGGGTATATATAAAGAACTCCTAAAAAAAAAAAAAAAAAAAAAGAACTCCTACAAATCAGTAAGAAAAAGGCAAATTGTTCAACAAAAACATGGTCCAGAAATATAAGCAGGTATTTGAAAAAAGAGCAATTATAAATGGCCCATAAAACACGTGAAAAGCTGCTCAATCTCACTTGTAATCAAAGAAACACAAAAATAAAAACATAATGATATGAATTTTACAACCACCAAATTGGTAATGAATTAAGAGTCTGTTAAGAGGATGCGGAGAGACAGGAACACTCTTACACTGCTAGTGGCACTGCAAATTAGTGCAACCTTTGTGGAAAAGAATTTGGAGATACCTCAAACAGCTAGAAATAGAAATACCATTCGACCCAGCAATGGCATTGTCAGACATCTACCCAAAAGAACAGAAGTCACTCTATTATAAAGACATCTGCACCCGAATGTTTATGGCAGCACAATTCACTATTGCACAGTCATGGAAACTACCCAAGTGCCTGTCAATTCATGAGTGGATAACTAAAATGTGGTATCTGCTCACAATGGAATATTACTCAATCCCAAGAAACGACAGTGAGCTAGAACCGTTTATGCTATCCTGGATTAAGCTTAAGCCCCTAATACAAAGCTAGACAACACAAGATCTGGAAAGAGGGCTACACATCAACTCGCCATCAAATTGGTACTGACTGACTAAAACTATGGTGCTCAAAAAATGGTAGTGTTCAATAGGGATTTGGGGGGGGAACCCACATCTTAGGGATGTGGCAAGCATTGTGGGGGGGGGGAAGGGATTACCTCTAACCCTTTTTAGGGAGAGGCAAAGATATATATTGTAAGCAAAATGTCTAAAAAAAAAACTTGTTATCGGGAGGTGGGCAGGTGGAAGGGGGGAGGAGGGGAAGGGTATGTACTTACGTGGTGGGTGTGTTGTACACACCACCTGGAGGCTGGACACACTTGAACCTCTGGCATAGTGGGGTGGGGGTGGGGGGGCAGGGGCAAGATATGTAACCATAACAATATTTGTACCCCGTAATATGAGGTAATAAAAAAAATTATAGACTAAAAAAAAAAAAAAGAAGCATTGGTGAAGATGTGGATCAACACAAACTTTTCTACTCTACTGACGAATTAGTGAGCACACTTTTAAAAAGTTTAATATGTTCATTCTCTATGATCTAGTAGTTATAATCCTATAGGCATACTCTAGAGAAATTCTTGAATATGTACAAAAGACAGGTACAAGAATGTTTCATAGTAGCACTTGTAATTGAAAAACCTGGAAACAAACCAAATATTCATCAACAGGAGAACCCTTAAATTATAACATATTCATAGAATGGAATACTATACTGAAAATAAAATACAGCTACATGTATTAACGTGAAAATATCTCAAATACAGTGCTGAGGGAATAAAGGAAGTCACATTGTTCCACTCCTAGAAAGTTAAAAACACATAAAACTAAACAATATTTTGTATAAAGATATACACATGTGACTTTGAAAACAGCAAGAGAATGATGAACACAAAATTCAGTATAATGCTTTCCTCTTGTGGGGAGTGATGATGAGTAAAGGGTACAGCAAGGGCTTGCAAATGTACTAATAATACTTTCTTAAGCTAGGTGGTGGATATATGGGTACTTATCTATTATTCTTTGGGGTATATGATATAGTTCATTATAAACATTTTATACATCAGCTTAGAAAAGATATGTTTTGAGGAGTGGTTTCAAAGTGTACTCCATTGGGTTTCCAAATTAACCACTGTAGAAGGGAGTAACTGGAAGTGGTCAGAGCACTGGAGTGTAAAGAAGGTAAGATTCTGGGCTCCCCACTGCAATTTCACTCAGAGCAGCTGCACTCATCTGAATATAGGAAGGTTTGAAAAGAACTTCATTTCAATCAGAATTATTTTGCAGAAAGAAGGGTACACAGTGAATTACAAGCTCCCCTTGCATACTCAGGTATTTCTTTACGTACGTAACATTAGCAATTTGGCAGAGTGCCAAAGAAATCAAAAGCTCAAGTATCAGCAGCCTTTGCCCAGAAATGACAAATTTAAAATAAAGATAAAGTAGTTATAAAATGATATTATTATAGGTCAAGATGAAAAAACTGGTACCTATTTCCTTGCAACTTTTCAGGAACTCATCAATAATGAAACAGATAAAGAGGGGTTGCTTTTCTCTAAGCTTCTGCCCTTGATTCCTTCTTCCAACCAGTTGTAAGTTTCATAATGATTTCGAATGTCAAAAGGGGCTCTGTCTCTTATCCCATTTCCCCCCACCTCAGCGGTTCACTCTCTCTTCTTTAATCAAACATCCCATGTGACTATAAATTTCTTCTTTTATAAAGTATGTCAGCAAATGTGAAAATTTTATCAACTTCCCATTATTTCAGTCTTTCCAAATTTCTAGCATCAATCATGGGGCATGATTGGAAATATATTCTAATCTAGCTATATGCTTTAGTAATTCTAGTATCTAAATGGATACCATCAAAAATGTTTTTATACCTTTTTTTTTTCTTTTCTCTATATAGCATTTTCAGCCTGGTACAACATCCCTGCTTTGTCTTATTGACTGGCAAAGGTCAGCTTTGACTGTACCTTGATGTTTCAGCAGAGATGGATAATCTGTTTAATGAGGGAAATTTCCTGCTCTGACTTATCCTTTATTTTTTAATCATATATTTGGCATATTTCACATGGTTGTACACTTTCTTTGCAGTTTCTTCATAAATGAAAATGAAAGTACTTATTCTGGATAGTATAGAATGAAGCTATCACAAAGAGGGTACACCTCACTTTACAGTAGACATAAGTTCCCAAAAGGTGGGTACAAATAGAATTTCTGTAAATCCAACCTTATCTTTCCATAAAAAAAATGGTCATTTCTAATCTACTTTCTATTCAACTTTGAGTGATCATCACTAATTATTTGCCCCTTTACTATTTATTTCTCTCCTCCAAGTTGTTAATACTCCATAAATACACATCAAATGTTCCAAGAGAATGTAATATTTTAAAGAAACAAAAAGGGAAATTTTTTGACTATGAGAAGGCCCTGTGTAATGCAACTAATCATTTTCCTAATTTGTTATGGCATTTAACTTTGAACTCTCATTCACAGATAAATACACATAAACAAATACTATTATAAAGGATTCTGTATAAAAAAAGATTTCCAAGTCCTAGTGGATGACCTTGCACTCAATAAAAGAGTTTCTCGGTCAGGCGTAGTGGCTCATACCTGTAATCCTAGCACTCCAGGAGGCCAAGGCGGGAGAATCACTTGAGAGCAGGAGTCGAAGACCAGTCTCAACAAGAGCAAGACCCCATCTCTACTGAAAATAGAAAAAAGTTAGCTGGAAAACGAAAAAATAGAAAAAATTAGCCGGGAACGGTGGCTCATGCCTGTAGTCCCAGCTACACAGGAGGCTGAGGCAGGAGGACCACTTGAGCCCAGGAGTTTGAGGTTGCTGTGAGCTAAGCTGATGCCACAGCACTTTAACCTGGACAACAGAGTAAGACTCTTTCTAAAAAAAATTAAAAAATAAAATAAAGGAGTTTCTCTATGCAATGCATCATAAGCTAGTGAACCAACACTGAGGGCAGATAAAGCAGTGTGCTATAGAATTGGGCACACACCCAGACACATCTTCCTGGGAACTCAATATTACTCAAAGACTTTGGGGAGAAATACAAATAATTTATGTAATTAAAAGCAATATTTTTATTAAAAAGGACATATTCTGAAACAAAGTTATATTCATATGTTAAAGTACAAGAATTCTGGATGGGTGTGGTGGCTTACGCCTGTAATCCTAGCACTCTGGGAGGCCTAGGCGGGTGGATGGCTGGAGGTCAAGAGTTCAAAACCAGCCTGAGCAACAGCGAGACCCCATCTCTACTAAAAAAATAGAAAGGAATTAATTTGCCAACTAAAAATACATAGAAAAAATTAGCTGGGCATGGTGGTGCATGCCTGTAGTCCCAGCTACTTGAGAGGCTGAGGCAGAAGAATCGCTTGAGCTCTGGAGTTTGAGGTTGCTGTGAGCCAGGCACTCTAGCTCGGGCAACAGAGTGAAACTATCTCCAAAAAAAAAAAAAAAAAAGTGTAAGAATTCAAAGAAATGTCTTGCTTTAGATGGCATTTAGAACATTTCTCTCGTATCCTGAGTTATAAAGTTAACTCTTTTCGCTACTAGGGGTACTTTGTCAGAAAAGTTTGAGAAGCCAGATCTATAGCACCTCTGACAAGAAGCTATGCCATCTCTATTTGAAGAATTAATATTATGTATGGGCATTCACCTCAAAAAAGCAGAGCATTTCATTGTTCAAAAAGCCTTTAAGAGCAAGCTGGCTACCTTACCGGCCTCCATTTTATTCCTTCAGGTACTACTGCGCCTGTGCTTCCCCTCCTCCTCCCGTTAGGAGTTGGTTTCTTTTTCCAAAGTTAAATGCTACTTTTTCTTGAATCATAAGAAGAGCAGCCTTAGCCACCTCGCCATTTGCTCTTTCTCCCTCTGCCTAACTCCCCTCTCTGGAATAACGGGAGGTAAGAAGAGGTCAAAGGTGGGGTGACCTGGTAACACTTCCGCCTCTTGGCCTGGAGAAGGTAGGGCGCAGGCGCTCCGTGGGATTCACTTCCGCTCCCACTGTGCCCTGTCTGCGGAACCATGGAGCACGCTGAAGGAGGCGATCAAAATGGAGAAGAACGGTATGATGTCTGTGGAGGGGGTGAATCATTTAGAAATCAGCAAAGATCTACTGAAGAACTTTTTTGGGACTTTCAAGTAAACATCTTAGGTGAAAAGGATAATAGGTTAATCCATTTCTGTGACAAATGTGAATTACCCATTAAAATCTATGGGCGAATGATTCCGTGTAAACATGCATTTTGCTATACGTGTGCTGTTTTACGTGAAAGGGGAAGAGATAAGACGTGTCCAGGCTGTAGTAATCCTGCATTGCGAATTGAGAAGCATACACAAGGTTCTCTCTTCATGTGTAGAACCATTCAAGGGTGCAAGAGAACGTATTTATCTCAAAGAAACTTAGAGGCACATATCAACCGCCGCCATGTGAGAGCTGAAAATCATGTTGCTTCTGCCTAACTTTAAGAAGTTCATCCTCTGTAATGCCCCACCACCAACTGAAATCCCTAAGCATTTTATAATGTGGCCAGACAAACATCATAAGAACCATATTACAAACCAGCATATGATGAGACCACTACTTCCTTTGGAACATGTGCCACATGAACCTTATCATTAGCCATGTGAGGATATCCCTGCTACCCCAGCAAAATTAATTGTCCACGGCTTTACCTCCACCTCCTTAAGTGAGTCAAGGAAGCTTTGTATTGCAAGAAAACGTGGCAGTTTAATAACTGTTCCTATTCTAAATGACTCAAATTTAAGTTCTTGAGAAACACCTCCTCCATCCTTAATATCTGTTCGCCATCATCCTGAATTCCAGAGTCAACCAGTTGTATTGAACTCTCATTATATTGTGCCTCCACAGCAACATTCTATACCACACCACCTCCTCCACCACCAATAAAGCCATGTAATGCCATGTCCTCCTCAGGCTGAAGATACTCCTCACTTGATTCATAAACTGAACCAAACAGCTTCAAGTCTACCAATGACCTATATTCTAGCACCCTCTCTGTGGGCATATTATTGCCCAGATGCCACCTTATATAAAATACCTTCCTCTAGGACCTGCCTCACCTCAACATAGTGGTCAACCTGTAAGTACACACCCTTCTTAACTCTTTACTCCAGTTCACTGAGGATCAAGGAACTCTGAGTGCTCCATTTATACAACTAGGGGAAGTGAATCATGGTATGTGGCCTGCACTCCAACAGCCATCCCTTCCTCCATGCATGCACGGTCTGCTTTCTCAAACTCCACTGCTTGGATCACATCTTCCAAATCAGAGAAGATATAGATCATAATACCAATGATAGTATTTTGAACAGAAGATATGAGGGGGAAAAAAAGTAAGTATGGTCAGCCTTCTGATTAAGCTTTTGCCTATTTGGGGAAGTAAAGCATCTCTTATAAAAGTAGCTTATAAAACATTTAGTGTCTTATCTCTTAATGGTTTTAAACCGTGATGTTGGGAGTGATTTCAAGTACTTTACTATAGTACAGATAAATGGCTTAGTGGAACGCAGCTGTATTTTGACCCTGAAGTGACCATATGCAATATTATTTCCTAAAAGTTTGTGTGTTCTGCTTTCAAAAGTATTGTTTTAGTTGAACCCAATATTTTTTAAAATTCAATGTTTAGTTTTTCTTATATTTTGTTAACCTGAGTAAAAGGAGTAACGTTCATTATGGTCGTAAAAAAAAAAAAACACATACGAGCTTTGGACATAGTGTATATATATAACTGTCTCAATGTAACTTACAATATCCTTTTTTCTAGGCCCAAATTGCTCTTCCTTACTGTAGCTGAGGCTCTGTGAACCAAACCATCTGTAGATTGAGCCCTGCTGTGGGTTTTGGAACCCATACAAACCAGAAGCATTTAGGCATCTCTAGCCCAAATCTGTCAAACCCAGTATCAAATTGCTTTTGTTACTCCAACTCTGACCTTATGCCCATTATAATAATGGAACACTGCCCCTTTCCTGAGATTCAGCATTCACTTCATACTTTGGATCCAGTTATGAAAGCCTTTTCTTCTTCCTGTGCATGAATCCCTATCTGGATAATTTATTAGGTAGTATATCCTCTCTAGGACTGACTTGTCTTTGCCAGTGTAAAGGTAAATAAGAATATAAAAACTTAAAATTGGGGGGAGGGTATATACATATATAATGAGTGAGATGGGCACCATCTGGGAGATGGTCATGCTGGAGACTCAGACTTGTGGGGGGAGGGGGGGAAATGGGCATTTATTGAAACCTTAAATATTAAACCTTAAATATTGAAACCCCATAATATGCCGAAATAAAAAAAAAAAAAACTTAAAATTTTTCCTGGTACAGAAAAGTAAAAAGAACTTCCCCTCTCCATTTTCTTTTAGCATTTCCTTCAGAGGAATTTCCTCTCAATTTCCTTGAGATTATAAATGGTAGCTCTGCCTCTTTGAAATGTAACTTTTTTTCAAAGCTAAATAAGCCTCTTGCCAGTTTTACATCCAAAAATGTCATTTTTAAGTTTCAAGGAGCCATACCTCTTTGAAAAATAAACACCAAGAAGAGTGGTGCCCTGTCTGTCTGTGGGAATTAGCTCCAACGTGTAACTTCTCCCTTATTAAAAAAAATGAGAAATTTTATTTTTCCTTTGGATAAATACAATTACATATATGCTAATCCGTAACATATATAGTAAAACAAAAGGGTGAGAGTTTTTTGGTTTTGGAGTAGCTTTAGTGGATTGCCTGTTATGCGTATGGTTTAATGCTTATTCAATAATCAAACTATTTCATTCATTTCTATGTTTGTTTTAATGGGCTGGCAGGAGACTTTATGTTTAGTTATATTATTTCCCCAACAATTTGGGGATAGTATCTGTCTGGAAATTCCTGAATTGGGTGGATCAGATGAAAGTCACGTGGCCACACAAGAGTCAAGTAAGAGATACTGAATTATAGAAAGCCTCCTTTCTAGCTCTCCCATCTTTAGATTACTAGCTGCATGAACTACTCACCCCAAATTCAAGATTTTATTATTGAATAAGCATGGGTGATACCAGTTATAAAATTCTGTCAGTATCACCACTAGCTTTGATTGTGGAAAAATACAGGAAGCCAGAAATGTTGCATGTAATGCTTTGTCTTGAATTTCCAATCTCTTTGTCACATTTAGACTGATTATACATATGAGAATCCACTTTTACAGTGGCCTGAGTACTGTTTCATTTGGACAAATTACAGTTGACACTCTGTGAGTTCCATATCAGTAGAGTCAACCAACAATGGATCAAAAATAGTTAGGCCTATGATGGTTGCTTCTGTACTGAACATATACAGACTTTTTTCATTGTCATTATTCCCTAATAAATATAGCATAAAAAGCATTTACATAGCACTTAAATTGTATTAGGTATTAGTAATCTGGAGAGGATTTAAAGTATACAGGAGATTATATACAAATACTATCTAATGTAAGGGACACCTGTAGGCATCCATGGATTTTTGGCATCCTCGAACCAATCCCCCATGGATACTCAGGGATGACTAATTTGTGGGGTTCTTAGAAGTGCCTCATTCCAACCACATGATTTGGATAAATATCATTCTAAGAGAAAATAAAAAATTATTTGATAATCATAAGATTAAGAAAAGTATAAGAGGAAATGTAAGAATTAAAGCCA